ATATTCTATAACGGTTGATTCACCCTTAAAACCGGAACGAAAGACTGCTTCACAACAGAAATATGAAAGACTCAAAATACGACCTACGCAGTCTTGTAATTAAATTCATTTTCATTTATATTCGTTCAATCGAATAAGTTTAAACATTGTATAGATGTTATTGGCACGTTGGAGACAAGTTCACGCCGTCATGGTAGGTTATGCGCATGCCTTTAGACAGAACATAGTGAATTTGTTACCGTATCCTCTCAGTGGGTCGCGATTACAATCCGGTAGTAGATTCAGTGAACCACTGCTCTTATTAGAGCTAGTAGTGTTAACAAGTGCTCCCAGGTTGACCCTCGTGAGCTCACATAACCGTCCGCGCGTAGTCCGCATAATTATTTAGGCTAATACCCGCCTACCAGAATCTAGAAAAGCACCTAAGGCTACCAGCGAATATTAGGGGGGAAAAACACCAACGATTAGGTAAGGGAATAAAGTGCACATGTTCAGTCAACAAATGAGTATCACAGCGTGGTCAGTTTTCATTAGTTTAACATTAAAAATTGAACACAAACTCATAACGCTACAAACGGATGTAGCTGCTATTAAATCATTGATAAACGCGTTGATAACAGTTTCCTGAAACTCAAAGATTTATTTTGCATTACTTCATAATCAATAAGGAGTATTGCTTGCAATTTGACATATTACATTTTTGGAGGGTTTCACAAAGGGGAGATCTTCCACCGAGGGTTAAAGTGCTCAGTAAGTAGATTGACGATTCAAATGCTGTTTGTTCGGAACTTACATATTATTATTAGGTCTTTATCTACAAACCAAATTTCCGTTTAGTATAAAGCAAAGTCATATTTCTATGAATCAAAATATACACCATCGACACATCTTCGACGGCGCAGTGATAATTTTAATGCCCTTCTTGACGAAGTCAGTTGTGCCCCAAAAACTCTTCACAGGCATTTTGTACTACCTCTCGACTATTGAATTTTATCACTGCCAAGAAGCTATCCAAACTTTGGAAAAATCGAGGCCTGGTAAGTGCGGTGAATGACGCAAAATTTTCAACGCAACAACTCTTGTAGCTTAGAGACCGTCTGTTGTGGTTTATGAGGTCAAACGTTGTCGTGTGGGTGCAACGGGGTTGAGCGATTTGAGCAAGGCTGGATTCACCAGTTTCTTCATCATTTTATCCAGTTCCTCACAGTACACATCTGCATTATTTAATTTTTTATCACGAGTGATGTCCAGCCGCACATTTTCGAATAGCCAATATTGTTAAACGACAACTATTTTAATCAACCATATCTTGAAAATATCGTTAGCGAGTCCCAGGCGTCTGGTAAATATATTTTATTCTATTATAGCTACTCGTTCATGGGGATGTCATGATGAAAAGCTTTTCGCAATCGTCATCACACATCATCTTGCCAATCGAGCATTACATTGCTCTTATCAAACCTTTTATCTATACTAATATTATAAAGAGGAAAGATTTGTTTGTTTGTTTGTTTCGAATAGGCTCCGAAACAACTGGACCGATTTGAAAAATTCTTTTTCCATTAGAAGCCGACATTGTCCCTGATGAACATAGGCTACTTTTTTTAATTTTTATTTTTTTTATTTTTTTTGCTTTCATGTGTGTTTTAATGTTTCCGAAGCGAAGCGAGGGCGGGTCGCTAGTATTATAATAATTTGAAAAGTAATATTGCGTGTTCAACTTAATATTACCGAATGCGTCATCATATCCGCTAACAGATACGAAATGGCACCGACCACTTCCTTGCCAAATATAAAGGCACGTATCCTTAACAATTGTAATGACAAGTAGGACCAATTTTTTTTAATATCCGTTTTGAATAGACATTGTTTTATCACTCAGGGCAGGATTGGAGGATCTATTAAGGATTTAACTAGTTTTTGTAAACTTTTTTAACCGATTTCAAAAATAGAGAGGTTCTCAATCAGACCATTTTTTGGTCTGTCACCTCAGTACTTTTTTCTAAGTAGACCGATTTTAATTTGAAAACGGGAACTTCTCACGTTGTTCAATTTCATATTTTATCCAGACCTGACCACTATATTTTAAGTGACCCTTATTGATTTTGATAAATAGGTACTTAATTGAATTTGACTACATTAATAATATCCTTATTTTGTTATTTTAAAGTCGTATTAAAATCGTATTTTTTAACAACTGCGTTTACCAAAATTGTAACATTTTCAAAAGACACAAAATGAAGAAGTATTTTCTTCTTACATCCATACTGTACGGTTTGACCGCAAAGTATATCAGCATAATAAAGTAATCCTAAGCAAAACACCCATATATTTATCTCCGACTGTAGGTGTTTTTATTGAGACTATCCCTTAAGTAGGACGTGGTAATTATTTGTGTCAAAAAACTTCTACCTACCTAGATTCGGTGTTTAAGACACAAATACATACCTATAAATTCATGGAGCAACGCGAAAAATCTGGTATTAACAAGATTTTTCATCACATAACAAAAAATAACACAGGAAGTTTCAATCGACTTCGTCAAATGGCAACAGTTATGACTCAATAGCGATCCTGTTTCCGTTACCTTTGTAATATAATAAAACTTGTCATATTCTGAAAGGGTATCCAGCTACATCGAAAATGTCAATAGAGCGCACGACACCTATAGAATAACAATAGACCAGTTCTGGTGCAAAACTAACTTCCTATTAACGGGTCGTGCGAGCTATTGATAGCGACAAAAGTAAATAACTAGACACAGTCTTGTACAAGTTTGTGGGAGTTACGAGTCCACAAAGATACGAGTATTATAGATATAGAAATCGTCTGTATTTCTGTCTTAGTTTGTTTCGGTCTAGCCATATTTAGGACTGGCGTTATTACAATACAATTGAAACTTCCACTCAAAGAGTGTTTTCATATATAATTCGGTGTGTAGTCACTGGATGCGTCGACCTTATGTCACGCGGTATGCAATAATATTCACTTCGATCACTTTAGATTACTATTTATTCTGTATTGTGACTGGAGTTAATTCCCCAGACCTTGATAGTAGAGAGAAGAAATGACATTTAAAAACGCACTGTACGTTTTGTAAGAGTCTCTATGAATGAAATACATAACGTAAACTTGTGCTAGGACGGTAAAAAGGCAAAGAAGGAACTGCTGAGAGACAAAAAGTCTCCACAACCTCAACGGTATCAATATACAAGAGGGCGTTTATTCAAACGGCTCGTTTCTGACGAGGACCAGGTAAAAATGAGGCGACTCCGACGCCGAAATGAGAGCTGTGTGCTAAGTGCGAGTTTTTTAACGTTCTCGATAGCGTGAAAGTTAACTCATATTTGTATGGAATGCGATCGTTTGCGTATGTTTGCCGCTAGGGGCGCTGTCCCAACTGCATACAAATTAACTTTTACGCTATCGAGAACGTTAAGAAACTCGCACTAAGCACACAGTACTCCAGACGCGTGCGTCTTAAACTTTTCTATTGAACTACTTAGGTAGACGAGTGCATGCTCTCACCTGATGCTAATTTCTCCGGACTCCCCATTAATACCTGAATTATGCCACCCAAATTGAGGTGTGTGACCCAAACCTGAATTGGATTAAAAATATCCATTCAAACTGTAACATGTAACTGCATTGCAGTAGAAATAAACAGGAAACCAATGGCTCCCTTGAGCCAGAAATAATCAGGATAGTTTCCGGTGCGAGCTTACAGCACGCTGGACGTATCAAAAGTAATTATTTCTGCAGAAATTCTACGTTCATTCTTCATTCACAAAACGGTGACTAAATTGTGTTGTAAACGATAACTGTTATTTCTGATAAATATATACTATGTAGCTACCAAAGTTGTTTGATTCTATTAAACGATAGGATGTCCGCATTATTACGCAACAGTACACATCCGCAAAACTTCAGTACGATCGCTACAATACATGCACCCAACATCTCTATTTGAACGGGGAATGATTGTTTCATTAGATATGTCAACCCCACTAGTGTAATGGTCATGCTCTTAGAAATTAGTTTTTGTTCGCCTTTAGAAGAAATTATTATCAGTATAGTTATAGTTGAGTTTTAGTTGAATTGTGAAAAAATGATAAACTTAATAATGTCAACATCAAACACGTGGGCATCTAGAGAGAAAATTGTTAGAATATGTCCACGATTACCTGATTGGTTCAATAGTTAGCAATCCTGTGCCAGCCAGTAACTGTGTCTCAAAGGGAAGGGAAATCCGGTATCGGTATCGAAATCCTGAATCGCGCTGACGATATTTTCAAGATAGGCTTGCATATATACAAGTTCCTATATAAATAGCCGAGCACACGTCCGGTGAAGCTAGTGTAACCCTGGATTTAACTTGTTTTGCGTTTCCGGCACCCAAAAGACAGGTGAACATCCTATCTTGGGACAATTGAATTTAGGATGTATTCTTGTGTAAAACCGAGTGAAAAGATAGATTTGATCGAGAAAATTGAAATCAGAAATTAAAAATAAATAAAGGTTTCGAAACGAGTTATAAAACCAGAAGTTTCCATTCAAAATCATTCGAAAGAAGTCATATAAATCATTCGTAAGAAATCATATAAATTCATGTTGATTGAAAATGCTCGATGTTAGTGTACTTTAGACCCACCAGTCAATGTAAGCTTTCCATCAATTCAAAATCTACGTAGGCGCCGCGTTTGCATAACGTTCAAAGCCTACGACGACCTCATTCCACTTGAATGGGCAGCGCATACGTTTTATTGTGTCGTAAATTCGACAGTTGCGCGACGTAAAACTGGCACATGTGACCCAAAATGGTTCGTAAACGGGAATCCGTGATGGCGCGTCCCACTACCTGTGGAAACGTAAACATAACGTATCGGAAAGACAAGACGGCAGCAAAGAGAAAGAATTTACATGCAGTTTTAAAATTTTGATGATTCAAACTAAAATGATTATTAAACAATTTAAACATTTTTTAATGTTAATGTTTCCAGGAAACTAGTCGCTCAATTTAGTCGCGAGGAAACATCGCTTCTAGTACTTCGTGTTATGGTCGGTCTTATAATACTCTACGACTGGGTACACCCGTCCGGTGCCTTCTGCCGCTCCTCCTCCGTTGACGTGAAAGGCTGCGTCAAGTTCCTGCAACAGCAACCACCGACGAAGGCCGAACCACTCCTAAATGCCCTCAGGTAGGCACTTTTCTTTTTTGAAGTGAAACTTCTTTAGAATCGTGATTTCAAACTAGATGAAACGAAAAAATAAGTCCATAGAGACACAAACACATAAATGTGTAGGATTCAGCCGGCGAGAGAATGAGATAGAACACATTAGACGTTCTCAGCGTAGTGTTTTTTAATACTAACGTGTGTATGAAACCTCTTGTAGTGAATTTTAATTTAGGATTATACGTGAAGTTAAAATATCAGTTCACAGAGGGCGCTACCTCATACTATAAAAGATGATTTACAATTATTTACTAATGACAAAATGTTACACATACTTAGGCATTTAGGATAATTGTATTTTAATTTTTGAAGGTTTCACTTATACCACGTGTGAATTGCACACATGGGTATTTTTTAGTATGGCAACCCTTTAACGTTACCTTCAAAGCTTCTCAAAACTTGCCTCTTGTAAACAAAAGAGCAATAATTGTAATATCAAACTTAGAAGGTCGGATGGAATTGAAACCTGAAAGCTTGATTTAGGTTTTGTAAAAATATTTCTTATCCTTATTGCATTAAGAATGATTTTTCTGTTTCCTCTTCTTCAGGTATACCACGAAACATCTGAACCACCCGTCTACTCCAAAGAACATAAAGAGTTTGTTGGCGGCGTGAGGGCAGCACTCGAGCCTTGCATGTTGCTGTGGGGAATGACAACGACAATAAATAAATACGCGGGAAGTTCTCATTACATAATCATATGGTACGTATATACAAATAAAAAGCGTTTGTTTTGCATTGTTATTGTATTTATACACCTAATGTTTTTTGATTACCGAAAATAAATGAATGTCGTTATACTGAACGAGCTCGTGAAGAAACAATTTTTAAATTGATATCCATAAATTAGCCCACAAACAAAAAGAAATAGTTGATCATAGATTAATTGTATAATTTTTCGATAGGATATATAAATAATTTTTTTTAACGTAAATTATATGTCTTTATACTGTTTTTATTTCACTCGTCTCGTGTTACAGAAATGAAATTCATAAAAACGCATTTTCAAAATTAAATTATGAATATTTAAAATTGTTGTTTTGCTCTCAGTACATATATAATCTGTTACATCAATTACGACTGTTTATTAGTTTATTTTTGCGTAATTAAAAAACAATGGTGTAGTGTTTATGTAATCTTTGTGTTGTGTTGGATTTGCTCTTGTTCAATATTATATTTGTGTAACTTGAAATAAATTAATTAAAATTATTAAGTTAAAAAAATACTCCCTTGCTGATCCAGTATCAATCACCAAATGATGCTAGAAATATTGAACACCAATTCGAGGTTTACATTATGCAACTAAGTTCACCATTTGATCAGGTCTATGGAATGATTCACAGAAAATTTTCACTTCTGTGATTTCTCACTCCAATCTGTCACCTATTATGAGAATGAGTATAAAGAATAAGTTAAAATCCAATACAGATTTGTTAGCTTATAGAATCGTTTTTAATACTGTTTTTTTTTGAAATTTCATTCATTCCTCGAGTGCTAAAATGTTAAATCTATGAAGGTCGTTAGATTTAAGGCGACCTGAGTAATGAATTAAATAATTTTATTATATTATACATTTATTATATTGCTCATGTTCTAAATGTTTAAAAAATTATTATAAAGCAAAGAATTTACACGTATTTTCATATACTATACTACGTTATATTTAATTTGTATGGCTTTAAAAAAGCAAATGAAACTGAGGAACTCTCCCCTTCACAGCCCCATGTGCAAGGCTACCTTTAGATAGTATTTATTACCAATAGATCGTTAGGCTTTATATCTTTGAGGATATCAAATATTTGCGTTGCTATTAAAGATATTGTCATCATTAATAATTTCTAGTACCATTCGAAATTGTTTGATACTAATTGTTACTGGCAGATGCACAAGTGTTGTATTTGTAAATTTAATTAATAAATGATGAAACTTCTGAGAACTACTTTTTTCAGATAACATGTATCTCGTTTAAAAAAAATTTGTATCATATACATAGTATGATGAACTATCATATAGTATCGGTAGCCTGGTAATTTTGATGGCTATTCGAAATAAAAATTTGCATATTTGATGCCTTCAAAGATGTCCGTCTTAAACTCGTTTTTTTTTAAATCTAGATACATCCTCTGATTGTATACTTTGATCTATTGAATTGTAAACTAGGAAAAAATTAATAGAGGACTATAAACTTACGAGGAAATTGATAATATTAATTTCGCCTTTATGGGTGACGTCAGAAACTAGTATTATAAGGAGGCTTAGAAGTTTAAATAGTTAACATAAGTGAGAAAGTATTATATTACGAAGTTATATATATATATTAATAAAAATGCCTTGGAATTTAAATCATCTGTTATGAATGTTATATAAATCGAATAATAATATGTACTCTAATTTTATTTGTATTTTAATGTTGTTTTCGAGACATGAAACGTAATACCTATTAACATAGATTATATATAATGAGGCTAGAATGAACAATCCAATCGTAATTTTCTTTAGCTATTTAGTATACTAGTTTTAATTATATTAAAACATAACACATGATTTTTTTCTTTTCTTGAATGTATGATATTCGTTGAGAATTTAAAAGTGCAAACTATTCATAGCGAATGCAAAGAATATTCCATTCATGGTCAATGATAATACAATAGTAAAAAAAAACTATCAAAGACTGATGTAAAATATTAATTTAAAAAAATTATAAAACAAAATTCACAAATATATAAGATCTTCAAGATTGTACTCCGATCAAAATTACACTAAATGACGGTCCACCTATTTTTTATCGTTCTCCAATTTAAAGTATCTAAAAGTTATTAACGAACTTTAACAAATATTTCGTCGATTAAATAAAACCGTTGTACCTATATTAAAAAGAAACAAATATCTTGTTTTATTCTACCGACTTGTTTCTGAATTTAAGCTTTATACAAAATTAGAGATTTAAAAAAATATATATTTTCTACACGGTTCACTCAGGTAGGTACTCCGTTAAATAATTAAAAATAATTATTAATATTATATTAGATAAATAATTAATTACATAATATACTCTCCCACAACTATTGTTATATTTTATAAGAAATTGTATTTGTTTTATGTACCAACTAATTTTCATTAGTGAAAAACTGTTCTTGTAACTCAAAGTCAAATGACTGAAAACTTTAAAAGTAGCATTTATAAAATTTCATTGTATGACTAGATTGTATAATAAGAAAAAAATACTTAATAAATAATAACGCTCAAAATTACTTCTCCATAAAAAGTTCTAAAGAGTACTAGACTGCCTGATTTTAACAGATTTTAATAAATAAATGTAGTTATTTCAAATTCCATTAATATATGTAATGATTTTCATTTTAACTTAATAGCCTTTTATTCTGTAGTTAATATCAAATGTAACATTAAAAATGCATTTCTAAATATTTATCTACTTTAATATCGTTGTTTATACTACAATATATTATTGTCACTGTAGCACAAGGTTTTTTTTGTGTAGCATAGTAAATTAGTATCGTTATGTAAATTAGCATAATATAATAGATACATATTTGCACTATCAGCACAATATTTTATTAGTTCTATTATACACACTGAAATTTTTATAGAATTGTAAGTAAGATTTTGCAGTATGCGTGTTACATTGACACTCCAAATTGCATTTACTTAGGAATTGATGAAGTTAATTGAAGAATAAGAAACATTTATGTAAGTCACTGCCCAGAAGCCAAAAATTTTGTATAATCCTATTTTTGTGAGTACTTCTTTTTGATTTTCCTATTAAACTCCATGATGAGTCTAAGAGTATTCTGGGTTAATGCATGTCTTGAGTTTCGTTAGTATAAGTACCCTAATCATGAAAAGTGCATATTAGGGCCGTTTTAGCAATATCTGCCCTAAAGAGTTTCAAATTTCTACATTTTCTGTTAGAATAATATACAACTATCACATTTTTCATTTTACTTTACCATAATATATACATAACATTAACAGATAAGTATTGTTGAAAATTGTACTTCATTATAAATTTTGTTAATAAATTATGCATGTTTGTATGATAACTATTGTCTGTTTTCTTTAGTTATCCTATTTGTTGTATATAAAACACACCAAAGTTATGTAATTTAATAAAATTTAATAGACACTTGTATTAAAGTTGTTTTATTTTATGATGAGTTACTTGACCTGTCCTGCAACTTTTAATCTGATCCTTTGTAATTCGTTTTAATATGAACTATTGTGTCTTTAAAGCGGTTAGTTGCCCTCAATTAAGAAAAATAGTATTATTATTCGCCGATAGATGTCGGGAAGAGTTCATTATTGATTACACAATTAAAACAACATTTTCTGAAAATAAATCTAGCTATATCGATTTATCACCCCCGAAATCTCCTGTATACTAAATTTTATGAAAATCGTTTCTGAGATTCAGATTATATATATACAAGAATTACTCGTTTAAAGGTATAAGATAAGATAATATAGAAAACTTAAATCACTATATTTATAATAGCTTAATACATATTTGAAAAAAAAAACAATAATAAAATAAAAACAAGTTTATTCTTATAATTAATATTTAAAGATATGTACAAAGTTAGATAATATTTAAAATAATGAGCTATTTGCTGGTCTCGGCTTCAGAATAAGTTTGCCAGTATCGTCACAAGACATGTTGAAGTCATTAAGTATGGAGCGAGTGCGCGCTGTGATGATGCTAGGAGCCACTACCTTTCTATGTACTCCAATCATGAATAGCAAAACTGTAAGAAAGTAATAGTTTTTTTGCTACAATTAATTCGCTATTTAACAAGATGATAGTTCATTCAATAGTACTAAACAGTAAACAGTTGCACTGGAATGTAAAGACTTTTACCATAAGAAATTGTTTAATTCTCATTTATTAGCTATTGCTATGGGCTTTTTATTTATAAATACAACATTTTATTCATATCACTATAGTTTAAGTATATTGAGGTCAACAGTTGGCACTAATTGCAACTGCAGTTGAATAATTTTTTTTTTGTCCATCAAAACAATCTCATGAATTAAATATACATAAAACAAATAAAAACAATGATTAATTTCCATATTTTAGTTCTAACTACGTGGTGTTAATAATATAATTGTAAAATGTTATCAATATTAATTAAATTAATTCCATATATCATTTATCTTACCCAATAATGTAGAGGTCACAGCAAAAAAGGGATGATTCCACAAAGACTGTGTGAGCGAGACTACAGGTGTCAGAGGATCCATCAACCAATGGTATGCTGCTATTGCTGTACAAACTGACACAATTGTCAGTAGAACTGGAATTAAGTTTTAAACAAAGTTGTAAAAAGTTTAATTGAAGTATTAATGAAAAATATATTATTATTTCATTATTCTTATTTATCTCATTTTTTAACAAGTGTATAATTTAAATGTATAGACTAAGTCTATTACTTTAAGGTATATTTTATCACTGATCAGCTCAACTATTCACAGCTGTTTCAGTAATTGGTTTTGTAGATCTTTGTGCGAGCCATCCACTGAGAACTATGCTTTTTTGTTGCAGTTTCAGCTCTAGAACTAGCTAGGTATGTATTATAAAAATAGTTTATGTACTTACTTCTCCATCTCATTGTAGCTGGTTGGAGACATGCTATCACTTCAGTTAAACGACGCTCAAAAGCTTTCAAATCTGTAATTATGACTACTCAGTATCATTAATCATAAAGGGTTATTTACCAAAATCGTAACGACAAAATTGTACATAACAATCGTAAGTGATTTTGAAGATTTGCATTTTTAGATCTAATGTGAAAACGATATATAGTACACAACTTAAACACACAAATAGGCCTAAATTTAAATCAATGATGTGCAAAATAAACGCAAGTTGCTATTTATTTACAAAACAGAGAATCTCTATCGCCGGACATAACCTAATGACAAATACTAACCGTCACAAGCAGTTTGTTCGAGCGACATTATTTAATTTTAAAAGACAAATTTGTTAATGTTGAAAATTATCACATATTAATGTTTTCTTGTCATGTAATTAGATAATACAATTTGAGTCCTTTAGGAATTTTATCAATTTTTCTATCATTTAATTTTATTATATAATGGACCATTCGACAAGCAAAGGAAACGTAACCAATATGCCGGACGATCATTTTTTGACAGTAAAAAAAAAACATGGCAATTATACAAAAAATAAAGAAAAACGAACTTTATTATAACATTTAAAAGGTGTGGTATGGGATGAAATAAAATAAGTGGTCAATAGAATCGTGCCGATTTACAGATAGTTTTGGCGTAGTTGTGGTGTTCTATGTAAACTCATGGTGTTCTTATATTTAATTTTGTTTTTTAATTCTTGTTTAAGATTAAACGTGTAATTAAGATGGATTTTAACCATTAATTATTTATGTCCAAAGTATGGGAAGACCACTGACCTACCTGCCTTATGAAGCTCGTTTAAAATTCCTTAAATCTAAATTTCAATTAGAAATCAACTACAATACAGTAATAGTAACTACACAAATAAATACCTTTTTGGTTTTTCTTATCTCGTGAAATAAAATGAGAAGAACTGGATACATGAAGCCTGTGGTTAATTTGAAGTGTTTTTTTTGCTCGTAAAACAATCTATAATAAATCGAATGCATCCTTAATGAACTGTAAATTATTATAAAGTAGCATTTTTATTGAAAAAGTAATTAAATTTGGAATATCCACTGAATAAAAACGATTAACCTAATGGCCTTCTCCTCCCTGAGTCGCATTCCTCATGTCTGAGGGTCGTGACTATATCTTCCCATTATCCATCCTGGATGATGTTTCGCCATCTTTTTCTGTTCTCGGCAGTGTGTATGGCATCATAGACGTTGGTATCCAGAATGGTGCCGATTTGGTCGGATCAGCGCATTGGATTGCGGCTACGAGATCTTTTGCTTGCAATCTTGCCAGTTACTATCAATTTTTCAAGATTGTCACTGTTCTTTTTGGCAATGTGACCGAAGAACTCAAATATCCTCTTGAAGCAGATGGTAGAGAGCCTAGTTTGGATATTGAGCTGTCTTAATATGGATGCTTTAATCCGATATGGTGTCTACGGGATTCGTAGCATCATCCTCCAGCACCACATATCCAAGGTATCAATGCCAGCTGCATGCAATCAACTAATTTGAGAGCACCATTGATGAATCCCGCCTGCTCTTGCGGAATCTGCCAGTCAATGTAGTACCTGATCCGGCAATTTAAGATATGGAGCATGATTTTGCTCGCACCAGGGGAAGGGTACGGAAGTTTTCACATTGTTTTATAAAACCTTTCTTGTGTAGTGGTATTATAGTGGATTCCGTCCAATCACTCGGCCATTCTCGACTAAACCAAACCCTGTCGCAGATTATTAAGAGAGTATTAAGGCTTTCAGTATTTCTGATTTTATAGTGTCTGGGCCTGGTGTTTTCTTGTTCTTAAGGATTGCTGGTGCTACAACCACCTCGGAGCAAATTAAATGTGGTTCTAATTCAAAGCTATTCCGAGGTGTGTCTTCGGAAGTGTCTAGGGTACCCTTGTATAGGTCGTCGCAGTAACACCGCCATCTTTCAGGACTTCATCAGATTGATACAGGATTTCTCCATTAGCATCTTCCACAGCCCATGATTTGGGTTTGGATTTTTTGGACAACAGACGGGCTTTTTTAAACAGATCTGCTGTTTGGTATTTATGGGAGTGTTGCTCTGTCTTTACAGATGTCATTTATGAACTTGTTCTTATATTCACTACAACAAGCATCTAAGCCTAGCATAAGAAGGCATACTCTCACATTATCTCCGGATCTTGTCGTCCACTAACTTTTAATTCTTTCCTGCGCTGGATGAGAGTCCAAGGGGGATCCGATATCCAGACAGTTTTTTTAGGGTCTGTTTTCAAGTGCTTGGGTATTACCTCAGCCAAGGTCTTATTGATCAGTCTTAAGTCAGTCAAGTCTAAAGCTGGCAACTAGTAAATTGTAGTCTGAGCCGCATTCCCAAGAAACGTCTTCACGTTGTTCACGGATGACTTCCAACGGGAGTTTAGTAAAATATAATCAATCTGATTTCGGTATCGATTACCCAGAAATGACCATGTGTAAAGGCGTCTAAGGTTATATTGAAAATGAATGCTTAAAATCGTGAAATTCTTGTTGATACAGAACTCTATCATTTTCTCTCCACCTTTGTTTCTGTTGCCTAGACCAAATTTCGATTGAGGTGAGATTGGTTTAAATATCGTCCTTCCTGCTTTGATAAATTAACTGATAGGCTAAAAGGTAGATTAGCTAATGGCTGAAAACCAATTTAAAAAAAAGAAAAGTTATATTAGGCCTAGTTAATTTTTTATTTAAAGTTTACAATTAATTTATTAGAACTTAATATATTACCTTAATATATTTAAAAGTAGTGCAAGTTTTTTATTTGCAAGCATAAAGCTTACTTCCAGAAGAGAAGTCTAATTTAGAAGCTAACCTTCGAATTTAAGTACAAAGTTCAATTCAAATTGGACTTCAGTTTTCAGGTAAAATTTACAATTTGCAATTTAAAATGATATCAATAACAAAACGAATCAAATTTCAATTGCACAGGAGTCTACCTTTTTTTTAACTCTAGGGAATCCCGGATCCCGTCTCCTTGCATATTTTTCTGGAAGAGATCACTTCGAGTCATAAGACCGCCTATTGCCCTTTTTCCTTTTGATTACCTTCGCATTTTTTTCTGGTGTACATTAAACAATTTTACTCCACTCTATTCTAACTCTTAGCATATATCTGCAGAACATTTACTTTTTTTATTACTTCTAAAACTGTAAGAGCAGATCATTAGCAATTTGACAAATTAGATTAAAATAGAATATATTACCAACTATATTGAGGGGTGGAAGGCTATTTAGTTTAAGCGACATTTTGCTTAACACAAAACATTTATTTTTGTAATCAAAGATACATTTTATTTGGTATTAGCATCAACAGTTCAATGTTTTTAATTGAACTTCAATTAAGTTTACTCCATTGAAAAATAGTTGAAGAAGTTTTTTTGTCATGATATTTTTTCCAAATTTTAACGGCTCCGCTGTAAAGTTACAAATTAAATGGCTCTGCTGTAAAGTTGGAGTAGGCAACCAGGTGCCTCATGGAAAGTATGTCACTGGAAGAAGAAAAACAAAACTTCAATCGCATAATTAGATCCGCATCAGAATGTGGAATGTGAGAGGCCTCATTGGTGAAGGAAAGCTCCACGTACTGGGTCACGAACTTGAGCGATGTAATACGGTTATTACGGGATCAAATGAAACGCATTGGAAAGAAAGTGGGCACAGAAACCTGGAGAACCACACCATCTACTTCTCGGAAAATGGAGAATTCGTCAACTGGAAGTCTACCATATAGCGGGAGACGAGGTAGTCAATAGCTATATATCTAGGCTCCAATATCACCAATTCTGGAGGCTGCAAAGGTGAGATCCGAAGACGTTGCGCCGTAACAAGATCCTCAGTTGAGAGGCTAACAAAGATCTGGAGAGACCGCGGAACAACCAAAAACACAAAAGTTCGGCCTGCTTTTTCCAATCTTTCTGTATGGGGCTGAGACGTGGACGCTGAGGCTGCAAGACCGTCGTAAGATTGACGCACTTGAAATGTGATGTTGGAGATGTCTACTCAGAATTCCGTGGACCGCGCACCGTACCAACGTTTCGATTCTGAAACAGCTCAATATCAAGGAGAGACTATCGTCAACAGTCCAAATACGAATCCTCAAGTTCTTTTTTTTTTTTTTTTATTATTATTGAAGGATTACTGGTGGCCTGGAGGCCTTTCCAGTTTCACTAGGACAGGTGGGCGAGCAAAGGCTCAGCCAGGAGGGGGGCCTCAAGTTCTTCGGGCACATCACTCGTAATGAGGACTCCATTGACCATTTGGTGGTGCAAGGGAAAGTCGAGGGCAAAAGATCTCGCGGACGATCTCCAACACGATGGACCGACCTCATAAAATCTGTGACTCCCTCCAACATAAATGATTGCTCTCACTGTGCGAAACATCGTGCCACATGGCGTCGCATCGCGAAAGTATCGGTATCGCCGGATTGAACTGATGCATGACCATGACCACTCTATCAATAGTGTACGATGAGGAAGAAGAAGCTGTAAAGTTGCAAAATTGTTGTGTAGCGAGCCTGAGTTCGGCCCTGCCCTGAGTACGGTCCTGCGCTGAAGCATCGCAGTATATATAATACTAGCGGCCCGCTCCGGCTTCTCTCGGGTGTTTTAAAATTTCAACGACGTTGTTTTATTTTTTTAAATACAAGAACACTTATTGCGGCATATTTATAATAGTTAGACATATGCTGTCCCGACACTTTTTGTAAATAATAATGTGTTCTACCAAGTCATAGTACATTATTTTATTCTATCATAATTTTCGCAGGGCACACGATGTAGACTATTTTAGGTAATTTTTTTTAAACCTTTGGTTATAATATTGTAGTTTTAGTAAGGATCCAAAAAAGATTATACCTATGTCGCTCGGGAATATTGTAGCTTCCAAACAGTGAAAGAATTTTTCAAATCGGTTGAGTAGTGTCGGAGCCTATTCAATACAAACAAACAAACAAATCTTTCCTCTTTATAATTATATTATTAATATAAATATAGATTCGATGGTACTCGCAAAACCTTTTCATTCGGTTGAGTTCAAGACAGACATATGCTGGGTGCTCCGCTATTAACATTTGAATTTGATCGCTCTTTAATTAAATATAAAATTGTAATTGGTGGTATCGTTTCACTGCAACAAAACCACAGTTGCTTAAAATTTTAATTAAATAATAAAATTAATCTGTGATATATTTTACAGAATGTTTCCTCTTCGCCAAGTAATTGCAACTGTACGCTATACAACTCCAGCATTCCGATCAATGTCAGCAAGTACAGGTCCTTTAATAGACTTGGCAGTTGACAATGACGGTATAGCAACATTAACCATGCAGAGACCTCCGGTAAACAGTCTGAACTTGGAATTGCTAGATGCATTAGGCAAAGCACTTGATGATGTATCTAAGAACAAGTCCAGGGGCGTCGTCTTGACATCGGTGAGAACTTAAGTTAATCTCAGCCATAAAATTTAATTTAATTTAGTTTACATATTGACAACCAACTAAAAGATAAGCCGTAAGGTTTGTATTTGCCTGAGTTGTTTACTATGAGTTATTTTATCATGTTATATTTCGATATGTAAAAAAGAGCTATGAGGAAATTATGTGCAAAGCACTCTTAATATATCAAGTACAGCTGATCTGATACTGCGAAGGGGATCTAAGCAAACTCCAACAGCCAAACTGGCATGGTGACGAGCAGCTATAAGAAGAATGGCAGCCTTTATTATCAGAGACTAGAACCCACTTCAGGGCCGTAGAACTAGCGCAGTAATAGTAGCAGTGTTAATATTGATATATAGCTGATAGCATACAGAGCTACTAGTGCTAGGTGTTAACTGGAACATTTAGACATTATAGCTTCGTTACCGTCATTAATTTTCATACTTAAGTCTATGTCCCAACTGACGGATTTAATTTTTGGTTACAGTACAATGTCTGTCCCACCATTCATTTCTGGAATATGTGACTACCATTAATATTTCTCTCAAACTACAGTAATACCATTAAATTTACAGTCATCACCTACAGTATTCTCTGCTGGTCTGGACATTATGGAGATGTACAAACCTGATATAAAAAGAGTTGAAACATTCTGGACAACATTACAAGAAGTCTGGCTTAAATTATTTGGATCCAACTACCCTACTGCTGCTGCAATTAATGTATGTAACTTTAAAAGGTTGTATGGCTTCCTAAAATTACAATATTAATATGAAGACATGAAATTACTAATAGAAAAGTGGTGTTTTAAATTTTAAATTTCAAGGGAAATTTTGTAATTTGACATTACTGGCAGCTAAAAAAAATGTTTAGAAACACGAGAGAGGTTCAACGAAATGTTTTATTTAGTGTCTGTCAATATTATATAGGTTTCTTATTAACTATTTAGCGTTTGTGAAAGTGCAAGTTAGGAGAATAAAACCAATTCACTGGGATTCTTCCAAAAAGTAATTTACTTTCCATTCACTAAAACATTTCATTTCTATCTATTAGGTTCGATTTATCTTGTACAATTTCAAACAAATTCAATTTGTTTCATTTTCATATTATTATAACCAAATATGTATAATAATTCAACATTTAACTATAAATACTTTACATAATATTTTACGTAATAATCTTATTCTTAAAAGTATTTTTTTTTGCCTACCTAAGCTGAGTGCCCTGACAGACCATTTCAGCGTAACCCTAACTAGTAGGTGAGCTCACGGGCCTCAAATTTGACGACGTTGCTAACACTAACCCTAGCAAGAGCAGTGTTTCGCGTAATCTACCACCGGTCGGAAACGCGACCCACTGAGAAGATCTGGCGAGAAACTGTATCTGTGGTATAATTTACTCGCCGAGCCTTTCGTCACAAACGATGGGTTCGACAAGAATTAAAAGTCAGAAGAGAGCACTGTTTGTTTGTTTGTTTGAATTATATGATATTCATGTTTTATTAATCTTATGTGACAGACTATATTATAATAATTAATCAATATATTAATGTCAACACTACAATAATTAACCCTTTACGGTCTTAAGATTAAACTATACGTCTCAATATGTGTGGACTCTGAACCTCAAAGGGTTAACAGCAGTTTCATATTTCCAGGGTCATGCACCTGCTGGTGGATGTCTCCTGTCAATGTCCTGTGAATACAGAGCTATGGTCACAGGGAAATACAACATTGGTTTGAATGAAACAGCATTGGGCATTGTTGCTCCAAAGTGGTTTATGGACACTATGTGTAATACTATATCTAAGAGAGAGGCTGAATATGCACTCACCACAGCTAGAATGTTCAACACTGATGAAGCATTGAAGGTAAATAATATAATAAAATAATAATTAATTAATTTTGTAAACTTCCTTTTATAAAAATGAAGGGATGTGAGTGAAGATGTGCGCAAAGAAGTTATTTTGAAAAGTTTAACATTATCAGTGCAGGGTTATCATAGACATCAAATCAAATTATCTTGCCTTGGAAAATATCTCCTGGCATTTAATAGGAGAGTGATGAATGTTCGGCATTCCTTACAGGAGGTATTTCGTGTCCTTCTGAGTCATTAGGGTTGCTTCAGTAGCTTGTTAGGAGAATGCATCTATATAATGCCCTCTTTTAAAAAAATACTATTATTAAGGAGGGATTAAATTGAATATAAATTTATTTATTTATTCTTATCGACAAATCGTGTAAATTTATGTTAAAAGTATATTTACTTTAACAAAAACTGTGAATGTAGTGCACATGATAATTTTTTTTTTTGAAGGTGGGACTCATCGACGTTTTAGCTACAGACAAATCTGATGCGGTTGATAAATGCAAGAAGTTTATAAAGAAATTCGACAAAATCTCGCCTATAGCTCGTGCTTTAACCAAGCAAAAGATTAGGGCGGAACCTTTGACGTGGCTCATCAAGAATCGTAAACAGGACACTGATGAGTTTTTAACTTTTGTACAGAACCCAAAAGTACAACAATCGTTAGAACTTTACATTCAAGCTCTCAAACAGAAATCTGCTAAATAAATGCCTAATCACAATTATGTAAATAAAACGTATGTTGTAATTATAAATTGTATAATTAAAATAGTGTTCATTTACTTATGAGTATTTTTGAACAATTCTAACAAATTTTGTAAATAGTAGGAATTTTGTATTATATATTTTAGTCATTTATATAAATACAATTTTATACCACTAAAATCTATGATATTGTTTTAATAAGTACTTAGAATTAGTGTTGTAACCATTGTCATAGATATAAAAATGAATATAAGACTACAATAATAGATACACCAAGCACATGTTTGGGTCATGTGGGTGTCATGGGTGAAATGTAGCATTGACTTTGTAATATTTATGACCCCAAGTAACCATTGTATAACGTTGAAATGGAACATTGATCCCACAACTTAGTAGACTTCAAATTGTGCCAAAACCGTCTACAGTATGAAAACAATTAGAATATGTACTGTTTTAAATGTTTGATATGATTAACAATATATTGTTCTTGTTTTATATGTAATATTTACGTTTTCAATAAAGATTATTAAATCATAAAAAAATAATATTTCTATTTCTATACATACACTGGAAAATTATTTATTTACACAAATAAATGTCTAAAATTTCATCAAGTCATTGCATCACCTTAAATACTCACTACATCTTACTAGTGTAGAAACCTTTCATTGGGTCAGACCATAGACTCTTCCAACTATTTAAAAAAAAAAAAAATAGATTGGATTACTTATATTTCTTATTCTGTATTGAAGAGTAGCAGCGTTTTCTGAGCGTTAATTATACCACCGCATTCTGATCATCAACTTAAACTTCCCAACTCTTACTATTGATAGGGCATATCGTGGGCCCGTAGTTTATTTCTGCCGCGAAGTAATCAGGAGTAGGTTTGAAGGGTGAGACCGTTATAAAAGATAGTGGAAGAATTTGACCTCATGTTTTGAGGTGAACACTCATGTTCTGCGGTCTATGGGTTTTGGCAATCTAGACCAGTATGCTTAGTGCGAGTTTTTTAACGTTCTCGATAGCGTAAAAGTTAACCCAATTTTGTATGCAGCTCGAACAGCGCCCCTAGCGGCAAACGATCCCATTCCATACAAATATACGCTAACTTTTACGCTATCGAGAACGATAAAAAACTCGCACTAAACACACAGGTGGGGAGAGTGAGATCGTCACCAACACAACTATAAAAAAAAAACTATTAAAAAACAAAACAATGTTTTATTAATATTGAATAATTAATATGCTATTTGTCACACAAATATCTACAACAATACCACCAGGCCTCGTCCTTAGTTTTTTAAAAGTCATCACCAAGTAAAGCGACCGTCTCCGGGTCTACTATTTCAGTAAGTCCCATCTGCATATCAGTCCACTCCTCCCTTTGATTGTCTATGTAGTAATTTATCTCTAATATACGATCTCGATTACGCTTTACTTCGTTACTGAAACATAGCCACGTAATTGTAAGTAATGGAACGCTATATATTCAAATTATTGTGCAAATAATAAGTATTTGCCTATAAAGTTTCTGTTTTAGAATACTGGCCATTTGAAACTTACCTACCTAATGTTGTATAAGTTAGCAATAAATTCCAGATCCAAAACAAAATTTCATTTTGAAATTCAGTCCTTTGTTTATTGATCGGTGAAAACATTATGTTTGTACATTTCTCATGAATATGGATACGATATTAACATGAGAAATTATGGTAAACGACTTTCGTCACGGTAACGATGCCGCACAAACGGCTCACAACATTAATACGTGTAGGTCGTAGTAAACACTACGAACTAACGCACCACTCGTTGTTTTGAACGATTCAAGCATGGAAATTTTACTTTAAAAAATACACCCAGTGGTCACCCGAAAACTAAAGTCAACCAATGAAATACGTACTAAACAAATGCTCACGATATGCAATAACATCGTGTGATAAAATTCAAACCCGCAAAATTATAATTTGCGTAATTACTGGTGGTAGGACCACTTGTGAGTCCCTGCCTATTTCTGCCGTGAAGCAAGTAATGCGTTTTGGATTATTGAGTGGGGCAGCCGTTGTAACTATACTGAGATCTTAGAACTTATGTCTCAGGGTGGGTGGCGCATTTGCGTTGTGGATGTCTATGGGCTCCGGTAACCACTTAACACCAGGTGGGCTGTGAGCTCGTTCACCCATCTAAGCAATAATTTTTTTTATTAACGATCGCCAACGCAATAACGCCTGTACGCCAATGTATGCCTTGCGTTGCTTAAAAGACAACGAAACGAAGAGATTGCGAACCTCCTTCACGGCAACGCTCGCCCTCATGCGACACAACAGGACGGTCTCTTAACTATAACAGCTAGGGTTGGAAGTTTTGTGTCATCTACCGTACTTACCAGACCTTGCACCGACAGATTTCTACTTTTTCAAAGTTTGAATAACGACTTTGTACTAAAAATCGAATACCCGATATGCAGTACAAAATGCCTTTGAAGGGTTTATTGGCCCCCTAACTTCTTTACACCAGATTTCTTCAATAAAATCATTGAAAGATAACCAAGGAACTCGTAGAGATGTACCGATTTGGGTATATATTTAGATTGATAGTTTGGGGTTAAACGACAAAGAGATTGATGGATCGTCCACTGAGCGGATGAAATTCCTCGGTAGACAACAATAAAACTTTCTGTATACATAACGGCAATTTCGTAGGTAAATACCTATTAATAAAACCGTACAAAAATAAAAATACATAATTTCATTTGATTAATCAGAAGACACAAAAGCATTTAGCATAAATTACTGTCTATAAAAATGTAATACATAAAACTTAAAACTGTTTCGAACAACGAATACTGTTATATATGAGTACCAAAGCCTTACGAATAGCAGTATGTCGAAACCTAAATCTCAATAATAGTGGTAAACCTCAGTACTGACTAAAGACGCCGGTGAAAGAAGTTGCAGTGGTCATTGACCTTGCTTATTAAGCGCGATGACATGATTTAACTGTTTATTATTAGTGTAGTCTTCGGCATAGATAAGATAAGAGTAGCTCTCTGTCGCGTAGCTAAAATAGTCCCTTAGGCTACGAGCGATTATGTAGGGAAAAATACATATTGACAATGTTTTCTTTATTATATGGGTACTTACTATGTATAGGTACATTTACCTACTTAGGAACTTAAAAATAGAAATAGATAAACGTATTTATTCCTTAATCTGACAACGGAGCATGTATTTTATTTTATGAGCACCCAGACTATATTATTCCTTTTACACCTTATCAAAATGGTACATGTATTAATTATTTTTATTGTATATTTATAGTGAAGGAAGGATCGTTTGATACTCACTCATTAGTGCCTTGTACAAGTTCATCACGCCAGTTGTTGGCACGGGTCATGAGCAAATCCTCGCGTCCATCAATAAAACGCATGTGGTTATCCGAGGATTGAGCCACTAAATTCATCATTAAATCTCGATCCATCATCACCTGCAACACGACAAACTTATCAAGGAACAAAGAACTTAAATTTGAACAACACACCAACAATTGACAAGATTAAATTGCTTAAGGAAGAAGAATTAGTTTAAAAAAGTTGAGAAAATTTATCTTAAGTTTAAACAAGGATGAATTGGAAACTGTAACAAAAACGAAAACATAATTTGATTCAGTTCCTGATTCCTAATACGCTATTGTTAATAATATCGATATTTGTAATGTTTTTTACTACTGGTAGGACGTCTTGTGAGTACTATTTCTGGCGTGAAGCAGTAATGCGTTTGGGTTCGAAAGGCGGGGCAGCCGTTGTACTCTAAAAACTGAGACCTTTGAGCTCGTGTCTTTAGGTGGGTAGCGGCATTTACGTTGTAGATGTCTATGAGCTCCAGTAACCACTTAACACCAGGTGAACTCTAAGCCCATCCACCCATTTAATCAATTACAAAAAAGACCTATCACACAAAGTTATTGGCGGTCTTATCGTAACAGGGCGACGCGTGCCAGTTACCTTCGCGTTACATTGCGGGTCACTTTATGGCATAGTACATTTCACTTTCAGCATTGAAAACGATTTCACGATGTAGAACCTTGATTTATTTTAAAAAGTACAACCAAGATCTCAACTGTGTGTAAAAGATTGAATCAACCTCGAATAACTCTGGGGGTACGTCTCCCAAGATGAGCTTATTCCCAAGGAGCTTTGACAGTGCCTCGAACTGTCTCATAGACCAGACGCCCTCTTGTTCGCGCCACGCTCCGAATGCGTTACGAGATACCTCCAACAGTTTCGTTATCATTTCCGTTATGTTAACAGAAAATTGTACACGAGATTCCTGTGGTTAGAAAATAAAGCTGTCTAAAAAACTCAGGCTTAGCAAATACTATACTGAATCTTTATTATGTACGTATATATCTTTCGTCTTTAGTCTGAAAAGTGTTTTGTCACATACATCGTGATAACTCGCAATGTCTCCAGTCCTTAATACGATGGCTAGAGAAAACTTAACCTCTTATACCCCAATAATATTTTCATCACAAAAATTGTACAGAAGAATTATAAATACCATTTAATATTAAATTCTAACAATGACATCTTAATTTTATGTTTTATGAATCAATTAATTTAAAAGAGGATGTTTTTATTAAAATTTACTATTAGGTTTTATTAGGTAGATACTAAAAATAACAAACCTCACACTGCTCGTAGAGCTGCATCTCTATGGTCATGAGACTCTTCCACAGGTGGTAGAGGACCTCATTGAAGGTCTCGCCGAGGTCAACTATCAACGGCTCAAGCTCCTCTATGGTAGCTTGCTTCGTCGTGAACTTGTTTATGAATTCTTGCATTTCATTTACAAGCGGCCTCTTTTTGTTTTCGTATTCAATAATGATCCTATTAAATAAATAATAGAGCAAGAGCCCGCGACAGCCAGACCTTCGTTATTTTATAAAAGCTGAAAGTTTCTCTGTGTATGTCTCCAACACAGCTAAGAACGACCCGCGATTATAGAGTTCCGATTGTGGTTACTTGGGCAGGTAACGGGCAGTAAAGGTATATAAAATAGTACCTTAAATTCGTTAAAGTATAAAGGTTTTTTTTTTTAATATTTACTCCAGAATATCTTTAGAAATCATGATATCCGTTGCCGGACACTTTTTCCAGTTGTTACCCCCTGCCAGACACCCTTAAACTTTAATAAATTTTAATTATACTTTCGTTATACTATAAAAGCTAAATTTTATATATGTTACTTAGGGACTTATAAAAATATGTTACCCCAAGAGCCGGACAGTTTTAATGGTTCTTACATCTTGCCAGACACATTGAGAGCCCGCTGTAGGTGCGAGCGCGAGGTAGCAACTGTTCAAGCGGGTGTGAGCGAGATAGAGTGCTTAGTCTATTGTGATCTTTTACTGCACATCAGCTGTCGTTTATAGGATTTATCCGTTCTAAGCAGTGATATCGAGGCGCTACTCGGCATGGGAAGCTCTGTCATTCTGGCGGGCGACCTAAATTGTAAACACATCAGGTGGAACTCACACACCACAACCCCTAATGGCAGGCGGCTCGACGCGTTAGTCGATGATCTCGCCTTCGATATCATCGCTCCGCTAACCCCGACTCA